CGGACCAACCTGGCAGCACCCCAGCTGCTCTGCCCCAGGCATCCTGATTCAGCCGCGGTTGAAACTGATCAGTTTCAGCAGTGGCTGACGCCAGTTCCGACTTACATACAGATTCAACTTAAGAACAAACCTACAGTCCCTATCTTGTACGTAACCTGGGGACTGCCTGTACTACACTGCTGTGTTTGCTTTGGTCTTGTAAGCATGCATGCCAATTAGCTGTACAAAGCATACTGAAACTAAAATGTAGCTGAAAAGTTTTTTACACCTTGACCCTCTTGATAATGTTCCCTTAATTTTAAGTGAAAACATGAAATATGTTCTCAGAGTCCTATCACTTGAAGGGTGATCTCATATACTATCAACAGAAGCAATGAAGCAATATTTTTTAAAAGTATTAGTGGCCTTTCCTGCATTAGTGGCCTTACCTCCATCCCTAGAGGTTTTTGGACCTTTATTTCTACATGAGTCCAGGTCTACTGGTGGTAACGGCGATGAAAACTGTAGTCTAGGGAACATGAGACCACATCTCCACTTGTGGGAAGATTGACAATGTGGCGTTTGATCTACCGGAATTCAATTTAATGGGTATAGTAAAGACCCACTAAATTGAACACCGAGGGCACCCACGTATGTTTTGGTACTCCTACTCCTGATGAGGAGTAAAGGAACTCAATGGGAGCATTTCTCCTATTTACCTCCCACTATGAGGATGGCACCAAAGCTCGGCTTAAGATATGTCGACTCCAGAAACATTTTTTTACGTAACTGGAATTGCATACCTTAAGCCAACCTTCCCTGGTAGGGTGGCCTGGGGTGAGGTGTGCTTTGTCTACCTTAAAGTCATACCCAGTGAAAATAAAGTGTTAAAAACATTCTTTGTGTAGAAAAAAAATTGTGCGCAATTGTTTAGTAGAAATAAATATTAGAAACATCATGCAACACTTTCCCCCATAGCCCAGTAGTTCATCTGCACTTGTATAGATTAAATGTGAAATGTTATGACATTTTAGGACTTGTTCTTTGAAATGGCTCATTGCTCAGAAGAGAAGACACTTAATTCTTTAAAACTTTGATACAGAGCCGTTTAAATAAACTAAGCTTTAAGGGGATGACCTGCAGGGGAACATTTGAGCTTTCTTCCTCAAAAGAAGAACTCTGAATTTTGCTTTTATGTCATGTAAATGGGCAGGGGCTATATTTCCTCATCTAAGGAAAGATACAAAGGCTTTGAAACATAACTATAGCAGAAGACAGACAAGACTGAGATTTTTCAATTGTCTCCTGTGACTCCTGAAATCATGGGACATTGATTGTATAGTTAGCAAATTGTATGCCCACTTTAATGCTAATGATTGAGTCCCATTCAATGTTCTAGAAAAAGGTGACAGTTTCAGGATCCGAGCCCTAGGAGAAAACAACTTTCTTACCCTTGATTTGGAAATTAGTTCAAATCAACACTTAAAACATTGCTGAAGTGCTCTAATGCAGACAGTCAATGATGTTTGTGTAGTTAATATTCCTCCCCGAGAAAAGGTAGTTATGCTGGGGTGAGCAATTCTCCTATTGACATAGTGATGTTTACATGGAGATAGATCAGTATAACCATGTTGCTCAAGGGATGTGGATTTTTCACATCCCTGTGCTATGCTCTGTCATTTTTTGAGGAGTAACGTTAATTTGAACCAAGGGGTTTGGTTTGAACTAACGCGTCCCGGCGCGTACTTTCGAAACAGCTGTTAATCAGAGTAACGCGCCAGACGCTAGTTTTGTCCTGCATATGAGAGCAGGAATTTTCACCCCTAGGTAAGGTGATAGTTCCCATTACAGAAAGGATGTGGACTTATTGGCGAGAATCCAGCAGAGGGCCACAAAAATGATTAGGGGGCTGGAGTACATGATTTATGAGGCGAGGCTGAGGGATTTTGACATATTTAGTCTATGGAAGAGAAGAGTGAGGAAGGATTTGGTAGCAACCTTTAACTACCTGAAGAAGGGTTCCAAAGAGGATGGAGAGAGGCAGTTCTTAGTGGTGACAGATGACAGAACAAGGAGCAATGGTATCAAGTTGCAGTGGCAGAGGACTTAGTTGGATATTAAGAAAAACTACTTCACTAGGAGGGTGAGGAAGCATTGGGATGGGTTACCTAGGGAGTGATAGAATCTCCATCCCTAGAGATTTTTAAGTCTTGGCTTGACACAGCCCTGGCTGGGATGATTTATTTGGGTTTGGCCCTGCTTTTAGCTAGGGGTTGGACTCGATGATCTCCTGAGGTCTCTTCCAGCCCTCTGATTTTATGATTCTAAGTAATACTCCTGCTGATATCCTAAAATGCTATGGCCTGATTTTCACTGAGCACCTACTACTCCTTTTAATTCTGTGGATGTTCAGCACTTCTGACTATCAAGACTCCAGAATCAGAGGAGCCTGAATTCTGTTCTCTTTGGGTATGTCAAAAAATTTAATTAAGATACACAACTTCAGCTATGTTACTTGTGTAGCTGAAGTCAAAGTAGCTTAACTAAGCATTTGGAGCTATCTACTCTACAGGAAGTCGAAGGAAGAACACTCTTCCTTCTACTTTCCTTACTCCTCATAAAAGCAGGGTTACCGGCATTAGCTAGAGAACTCCTCTCACTTTGAATTAACTGTCTTACCTAGACTGTTAAGTCCAACCCTGGAAGATTGACAGAGGCAATTTTGATCTTCCTCTGTAGTGTAGACATTCCCTTTGACACTGGTTTAAAAGAGGAAAGGCTCCTTGTCACCCAATATAAAATTAGTGTAAGTTAGTAAAGAATGATTTCTTGTTAGTACTATGAAAATGGAGAATATGTAAAAGCATAGCATCCAACAATTATTGTTGAACATATACAAAAAAAAGCTTGTATACTCACTATACAGTCACTGCACTACAAAGGCCAGATTTTCCTATGTGCTGGAGCTGCATCTGGCATGTCTGAGGCTGGGGAACATAAACGGGAGAATTGGCTGAAATGTATTTTTGTCAAAATAGGTTGTTTGTCATAAAATGTCCTTTCTGGGTCAGACAAAAGGTCCATCTAGCCCAGTATCCTGTCTTCTGACAGTGGCCAATGCTAGGTACCCTGCTCCCCACCCCCACGGAATGAACAGAATCATCAAGCAATCTCAGCCCTGTCACTCATTCCCAGCTTCTGACAAACAGACACAAGAGACACCATTCCTACCTATACTGGCAAAGATGGAGTTGCCAAAAATGAAATATTTTCTAGAACTGTATAAATTCTGAGAAAGTTTTCACTGCAAATGATTTTGCAGAGCTCTCTGAGGTCCAGGGCACTTCTCATAAGAGAGAGTGAGTGAGAAAGAAATTAAAAATGTAGACATTTCTAATTTGGAATTAGAAGTTTTGCTACAATCCAGGACCAAATCATTTCTGAAAATTCATCTCTAAATAAAACAGATTTTTTGGTCTGCAGCTAGCTTTACTAAGAGTTTTATTGTCGCCTTTTCATTCTCATTACCCCTCTACATTTGGGATCAGCTGCAGGTTGATTCAACCCCTGAAGTAACTTAGAACAGCCTTAAGGACATCTCTAATTTGCATCAGTAATGGCCCCGATGCACTTTGCCACTGGTCCAGACTTACTGAAGCACAACTCAGTAAGGCTATGTCTACTCAGCAGCATTATTTTGGAATACTGTAATGTCAATTATTTCGAAATAACCTAGGGTGCATCTACACAGTAAGCCCATTATTTTGCAATAAATTCGAAATAACAGGCTTCTTACTCCTACTCCTCTAACCCTCATTGTATGAAGAGTAAGGGAAGTTGGGGAAAGCTTCCACGTAGACAGTGCCAAGTCAAAATAAGGTATTTCGACTTAAGCTGTGCAATTATCACCGCTGAAGTTGTGTAGCTTATTTTGTGTTTAGCCCTGCTATATATACGTGCCCTAAGTGGCCTGGCTTCAAGCATCCCTAGTATGGGGGGCTAGTGTAATGCCAAGAAGTAGAACTGAACCTGGGACCTCTTAAACGATGTGCATGAGCCTCTACAATTTGAGCTAAAAGCCAGCTGGCTCTCAGCTAAGGCTGTAAAACACACTCATTCTTTTCTCTCTGTAAGTGGTCTAGGTGTCACTAGATGGGACAGTACACCACACTCAGAAGTCGTGTGTGTTATACTAGCACCATATGGCATGGAAGTGGCCAAACTAGCTTTGCACCATCCAAGCATTCCACAGAACACAGGAAATCTTCAGCTGCCTATGTATACTAGCTTTCTTTTCTATGCTATCTGCACTCTTCAAGTAATGGGAAGGAGATGGAATGGGACTGAGGATCTGGACCCCATTATCAAACATGCAGGATAAATTAACAACTTCATTCCAAAACTGCTGTGCCTGTAACTAATACCAAAGTTAAAAGGAAATTGAAATCAGCTATAGGCATATACCATGCTGGTGCATGTTCAGCTAGGGAATGGAATGAATCATCTTTGTACTTATCTTTAGTAAAATGAATGGGACGACAAAACAGAAAGGAGATTAACCAGAAATATTTACTAAATTCTCTTGTTTGAAGTGGAACAGTTTATAAAAGTACAAGGTAGTCTTCTGAGATAAGCAGTTAATGATGATTCCTTAGGTCAAAATTGAAAGATCATAGGCAGACGTTCTTACTAGTCACCTCGCAGAAATGAGGAATGTAGCATATGATATCTCTATATGATGCAATACATTTTTTAAAACTCTGACATTTCCATTTTTATTTTACAAAGATTAACATAATCTGGAAAGAAAAAAATATGGCACATTTTCTGATAAAATTGAATGACTATTCCCTTCTGGTTGGAATGGGATTTGGAATAGCACTGCATAATTAAAAGGATATAAAGTCTTCCAATTCTAGGCTTCTAGCTCAAATTCAGTCTTGGTTAGAAATGCCTAAAAGTCCTTATCTGATAACAACATATCAGTCTATATTTAATGAGTTCAAAGTCCTTGGTCCAGATCCTACAGGAATTGTCTCCTGCCAAATGGATATTTGATTTTGTGTGAAGTAGAAACTTTTATTGGTAGTTCTAACAAAAAGGCCAAAGCTTACATGAACTATTTTCTCACCCATAATAACGGTCAGTCTGGGTCAAGGGAGAAACATACAATCAATGCATAATCTATAAAACAACCTTCAGTAAAGATACAGATGGGTAGATATGCTGCCATGGTATTATATATTAAATTTGCTTTATGCAACCATAAACAATAAAGAAATATCTTATCACTACATTTATCTTTCCTTTTGTACCATAGACCTATAAATATATTGGCCTAAAATCTGGGCAAATTTGTGCCACATGAATGCACTAGCTAGCCAGAGGATTCTGTACTGTAGGCCAGCCCTGAGACCGAATAGTGTATCATACATGATGACCTCTCTGGAGTAAGGGTTATGGCCAGGAGAAAAAACAGTGTCACTGACCATCCCTATGCCTTGATGATTGTCAGCTGCTACCATGGCCCATAATGTCTTTTAACATATGAACCCTAGTATCCTTCAGGTTGCTCTAACGACTGCATGGAACACACCTGGATGGTCCAGAATTGGACAACTCAAAAGCATCTTTAACACCCCTTTCCTTCTTGGCTCCCTACCTTGCTCCCCTGAAGTTACACTGTGCATTGCTCTGAGACCATCACTTCTCCTAGCTAACTGAATGATCCTTAATGTTCTTGCTCTCTGCTCTCAAGTGAAAGACTCATCTCAGAAAATAATATTAATGAAGCACGTTTGCTTTGGCAATACAAAAGAGTTACTGAGCAGATAAAGCATGGTAATGAACTTTGATTTTACCTAAAGCCTTCCTGTATTAGAAGAAAAAGATGGGTTGGTTGCAAAAGTAAGAAACAAATCTAAGAGTTAAACCATCTCTAGAAATGTTGTAGTTCTGGTATGTTCTTGTCTTAGCTTCAGGAAATGTTTATGTGAGTAATGACATGATTTGATGAGTTAAAAAAGTGCATATAAAGCAATTGTCTGGAAGTATCTGTCACATATTGTAGTTACCTCAGTCATGTTCCTTAAGAAAGGCTTTTCAAATAATTGTGTGTGTTGATTAATGACAGAACTAGATGGGCCATCAGCCATTACACCTATTTAATGACAAACATACTCTTGCCCTACACAGCAACACAGGTCTCTAAACTAACATTAATTTTGAAAGCTACAAGCTTGGAGGCTTTACTGTCTTTTGCATCATAGACAGAATGAAGTAATATCTGAAATCTATATCTCATATTTCTACTAATTTATCATCATAAAGAGAGACATTTTGTGCTGTTCATTCATTATGAATTACTTATCTGAGATCAAATATCCAGGGAAGTTATTCTAAAGATTTTTAATTATACATTCTGGGTATTTTATTAAGAATACTTATTGCAACCAGAGACAAGTTATGGTAGTCATGCTGGCAGACCAGTTCATGCCAGAGTGTACTTAAGCCAATTAATGCGTGTGCAGAAGTAATTAACAGTTGAATGCAGAAGAGTACATCTGGTGTTCAGACTTCATAAAACTAATGGTACGGTACTTGTATTGTTTTCATTTATTTGTATCCTGTTATAATGCAGTAGCAAATATCTAAATTCTATATATCCCTGTTATTAAAAGAAAGAGCATTGTGGATTGCTAATGAAGGACTCTAACAGAAAAATGCTAATTTCAAAAAAAGTGGCCACAATGTGTGATGACCAGAGATTGATGATTGAAAGTGCATTCGTCATTCACTGCCATCAAGGGAAAAGACTAGAGTAGAGACACTGTCAGCTAGGGTTGCCATTTCTGAATCACACAAAACTGTAACGCTTGTGCCACCCCTTTTTCAAGACCCTGCCCCTGCCACCCCCTTTCTCTGAGGTCCTATTCCCACTCACTCCATTCCCCTCCCACTATCACTTGCTCTCCTGCACTCCACCCTCATTGCTGGATGGTTCTAGAAATGAGGGGTCCAGGATGAAGGAGGTGGCTCCAATTTGGGGCAGGTAATTGGGATGTGAGAGAGGGTGAAGGCTGGGCTGGGGGTTGGAGTACAGAATGGCATGTAGCGTGCAGGCTACAGATGGGGACTCTGGAAAGGAGTTAGAGTATAGGAAGAGATTGGGGCATGAGATCCAGCCAGGTGGTGCTTACCTCAGGCAGCTCCCAGTTGCTGAGACAACAGGGCTAAGGCAGGCTCATGGATTCTGAATTTCTGAGTATTTATGGGTACTCAGTCACTTCTAGGAGCTGTGCTGAGCCAGGGAAGGCAGGATTCCTTTTTGAGTAGGTGTTCTGATGGAAAACAAGACCCCTCCCAGCAACCCTACTGTCAGCTTTTTTTCAATAGAAGAAGATGGAAATATGGAGTCAAAAGATTTTTCATCTCTGACCTGTTTGGACTGTTACAGGCAAGTGTACCAGATGGAAAGTAGAGATCCACAGAGATAATCTCGGTACCCCAAAAAAGACTTTTGGGAAACCAGCAGTCATTACATCAGTCACCATTTGGAATTACAAACTGCAACTCACTTGTTGATATATTTTACCTGATTTAACTCTCAATAGCTTTCATTTCCTTTTCTTAGCTAACACATCTTTAGTTAGTTTACTATAGAATTGGCTGTCAGCTGTGTTCTCTCTAAGAGTGTGTCTAGACTACAGAGTTTTGTCAACAAAAGTGGACTTTTGTCGACAAAACTATACCTGTGTCTACACTACCGCTGAGTTCTGTCAACATAACGTCGACAGAACTCAGCAGTTTTGTCGACACTGGTAAACCTCATTTTACGAGGCATAACACCTTCTGTCGACAGAGTTTTGTCGAAAGAAGGTGTTATTGCATGTAAACTGTCCTTGCGTCTACACTGCCATGTCGACAAAGCAGCTTGCTTTGTCGACAGAACTGAATGTAGTGTAGATGCTCTTTGTCGACAGAAGCT